TCTCATTGTTCAACACCGCCTATGAGTGAGAACATGCGGTGTTTGATTTTCTGTTCTTGCGTCAGTTTGCTGAGAATGATGGTTTCTAGAGTCCTTCATGTCCCTACAAAGGACACGAACCCATCCTTTTTTATGGCTGCATAGTATTCCAAGGTGTATATGTGCTACAATTTCCTTGTCCAGTCTATCATCGATGGGCGTTTGGGATAGTTCCAGGTCTCTGCTATTGTAAACAGTGCCGCTATAAACATACGTGTGCATGTGTCTTTATAATAGAATGATTTATGATTCTTTGGGTATATACCCAGTAATGGGATTGCTGGGTCAAATGGAGTTTCTATTTCTAGGTCCTTGAGGAATTGCCACACTGTCTTCCACAATGGTTGAACTAATTTACACACCCACCAACAGTGTAAAAGTGTTCCTATTTCTCCACATCCTCTCCAGCATCTGTTGTCTCCAGATTTTTTAATGATCACCATTCTAACTGGAGTGAGATGGTATCTCAATGTGGTTTTGATTTACATTACTCTAATCACCAGTGATGATGAGCATTTTCTCATATGTTTGTTGGCCTCATATATGTCTTTTTTTGAAAAGTGTCTGTTCATATCCTTCATCCACTTTTGGATGGGTTTGTTTTTTTCTTGTAAATCTGTTTTTGTTCTTTGTAGGTTCTGGATATTAGCTCTTTGTCAGATGGGTAGATTGCAAAAAATTTTTCCCATTCTGTTTTTTGCCAGTTCATTCTAATAATTGTTTCTTTTGCTGTACAGAAGCTCTGGAGTTTAATTAGGTCCCATTTGTCTATTTTGGCTTTTGTTGCCAATGCTTTTGGTGTTTTAGTCATGAAGTCCTTGCCTATGCCTATGTCCTGAATGGTTTTGCCTAGGTTTTCTTCTAGGGTTTTTATGGTATTAGGTCTTATGTTTAAGTCTTTAATCCATCTGGAGTTAATTTTAGTGTAAGGTGTCAGGAAGGGGTCCAGTTTCTGCTTTCTGCACACTGCTAGCCAGTTTTCCCAACACCATTTATTAAACAAGGAATATTTTCCCCATTGCTTGTTTATGTGAGGTTTGTCAAAGATCAGATGGTTGTAGATGTGTAGCATTGCCTCCAGGGCCTCTGTTCTGTTCCATTGTTCTATTATCTCTGTTTTGGTACCAGCACCATGCTGTTTTGATTACTGTAGCTTTGTAGTATAGTTTGAAATCAGGTAGCTTGATGCCTCTGGCTTTGTTCTTTTTGCTTAGGATTGTCTTGGCTATGTGGGCTCTCTTTTGGTTCCATATGAAGTTTAAGGTGGTTTTTCCCAGTTCTGTGAAGAAGGTCATTCGTAGCTTGATGGGGATAGGATTGAATCTACAAATTACTTTGGGCAGTATGGCCATTTTCATGATATTGATTCTTCCTAACCATGAGCATGGAGTGTTTTTCCATTTATTTGTGTCCTCTCTTATTTCCTTGAGCAGTGGTTTGTCCTTTCCTTGAAGAGGTCCTTCACGTCCTTTGTTAGTTGTATTCCTAGGTATTTTATTCTCTTTGTAACAATTGTGAATGGGAGTTCCCTCATGATTTGGCTCTCTGTTAGTCTGTTATTGGTGTATAGAAATGCTTGTAGTTTCTGCACATTGATTTCATATCCTGAGACTTTTCTGAAGTTGCTTATCAGTTTAAGGAGATTTTGGGCTGAGATGATAGGGTCTTCTAAATATACAATCATGTCATCTGCCAATAGAGACAATTTGACTTCCTCTTTTCCTAATTGAATACCCTTTATTTTTTATTTACTATCATAAATTATGCTCATCTATTATGAAAAGTTTAAACTTATCAGAAATTACACATACACATACAGACCATACATGGTAGCTTTTGCAGCTGAGAGAAATATAAAGAAATGTAAAATACAATATTAAGTTATAACTGCATAAAATTATATACATACTGTACTACTGTAATAATTTTGTATCCAACTCTTGTTACTCTTGGATCAGCTCCAGTGTTGGGAGTATCTGCTTAAAACACCCTGTGCTGCTAATCCTGTCCTTGTGAACAGTTTGTCTCTCCAGTAAATTGATTATCACATTAAAAAATGATCTCTTGTGGCTCACATGTATATTTCATCATGCAATACCATAAAACTTGAATAATATCACGGGACCCATACAAAGTGCCAGTACTTGAAGTGCTCCCAAGTAGCAGAGAAAAGTCATGACATTACAAGAAAAGACCGAGTTGCTTGATATGCACCATCACTTGAGGTCAGCAGTTGCAGTTGTCTACCATTTCGTGGTTAATGAAACCAGTGTAAGGATCATTGTTAAAAAAAATAAAAATAAATAAAAGAGAAAAGAAAAAGAAAACTATTTCGTGAAGCTATCACTGCGTTAAAAAAAAAAAAGTACATGAAACCTTGCATTTTTGTGAAATACTTTTTATCTTATACTGAAAGCACAGTTTTTCTGTGGGTGCAGGATTGCTATAAGAAAGGCATACCTTTGGCTGGGCGTGGTGGCTCACGCCTGTAATCCTAGCACTTTGGGAGGCTGAGGCGGGCAGATCACGAGGTCAAGAGATCAAGACCATCCTGGCCAACATGGTGAAACCCCATCTCTACTAAAAATACAAAAAATTAGTTGGGTGTGGTGGTGCGTTCCTGTAGTCCCAGCTACTCGGGAGTATGAGGCAGGAGAATTGCTTGAACCTGGGAGGCAGAGTTTGCAGTGAGCCGAGATCGCGCCACTGCACTCCAGCCTGGCGCCTGGCAACAGCAAGACTCTGCCTCAAAAAAAAAAAAAAAAAAAAAAAAAAAAAAGAAAGGCATACCTTTATACTCAAATATGATTTCCAAAAAGTGAAGTAATTATATGAAAGCCTAAAGCAAATGAATGGCAAAGGATCTAAAGCCTGAGAATTTAATGCCAGCAAAGGATGGTTTCATAATTTTAGAAAAAGGCCTGACTTAAAAAATGTCAAGATATCAGGAGAAGCAGCTTCTGTCAACCAAGAGGCAGCAAAGTTCCCAAACACCATCAAGAAAATCACCAAGGAGAAAGGATATTTGCCTGAACAGATTTTTCACGCAGATGAAAGTGCCCTATTCTGGAGGAAAATACCACAACAGAGATTTATGAGTTAAAAAGAGAAGTAAGCACCAGGATTTAAGGCAGAAAGAGATCTGACAAAGGGCTGATATCCAGAATTTACAAAGAACTAAAACAGATTTACGAGAAAAAAACTAACAAGCCCATTCAAAAGTGGGTGAAGGATATGAACAGACACTTTACAAAAGAAGACATACATGAGGCCAA